TGCAATGACATCGTGGTTAGTGAAACTAATGATAGTTACTAATGTTTATCTTAGGTCATTAGTTTCTATGAGTTTATTATAGGAAGATGGTCGGCCCCTCATTTCAAAAGGGAAAATACGTGTTTTTCGACGACTAAATTTTTTGTTTTGGTTTCTTTGAATCATAGGACAACCGCACTATAGAGAGGGGTTGAGATGCCTGGATGAAAAGTGTGGGAACATATGCTAAAGATATACTTTTTCTTGTGGAAAGGATCTGATTTATTATAAAAATTCATTGGAAGTACAAAGTATCTCAAACATAATTATAAAATACATTGAAATTTTAAAACCACCAAATGACCACTACTGCCGCCAAAATGAGCTGTCGATAGGGCCGCAAACGAGCCGAGTTTGAGTGCGTTGGCCTAGTCTTAGCTCAACTCATACTAAAATTTGAGCGAGCTCAAAATGTGCGAAGATCAAGGTCGAGCTGCAGAAAGTGACTCGTCTTCAGCTTGTAATGATATCGAGTTGATCTCGAGCTAGTTTCGAGCTATATAAGATGGTTTTTAAAATCATTTGAAGGCAAATTTTAAAGTGAGATAGGTCACAACAGAAAAAAAATTCACTATAAATTTGACTTATTCTTTTTCGAGAGAAGACTAGTATTTCATAACAAGAGATCATGAATAGATGACAATGAAGGTGCGCCCGCTCTCAAACTTTGACCAAAATAACAAGATATTGAACGCACGGTTAGCCACATGTCATATTGAGACTAAATTTTCTCCATGCTTAATTTCCATGTTTGCTAGTAGGTAAAGTGAAGAAAAAACATACATAACACATATGGAAATGAATTATCATAATTATTGGCAATAGATATGAAGGTTATTTAATATACTTATATGATATCGAGCTATCGAGCTAAAATTGAGTGAGTCAATTTTGGCTCAAGATTAGCTCATTTCTCGATCGAGCTACATAAAGTGTCATATTTAGCTCATTTCTTTTCGAATCAATCTCGAGTCAAGCTAAAATACGAGTCGATCTCGAGCGGCTCATGAGCCTCGAGCTTTTCTTGTAGACGATTGACCTTGTCGATGTGCCGCTTGACCTTGTCGAGGACAGCTGGGAAGTCTTCATGCCCGTGCCCGAAGGACCAGCGCCCTAGAGCCGCAATTGTCTTCATTGAACCCTTGCATAGATCTGAAGCACCTGACCCCAAATCTCACCACATAACAAGAAACCATAACCTCACTGTCCCAAGGAGACAACAAGAATCTAAGATGGAGCTCCGTCGACTATGTCCAAATGGACAAACTCGAAGAGGATGGAAGCCCGGAGACAAACTTAAAGAAGAAGTGTCACCATCCACCCGAGCGCCCCCTACACACGGGGTCTTCATTGTGCACATGGGGTCTAATGGTGTTATGTCCGGACAGCTCGTGCACCGAGGCCTTTTGTCGTTCACAAGGGGTCTTCTGGTTGCCAATGGTTACATCTTGGGGTTAACTATATAAAGCTCCCTTCTCCTACCACCAACCCTAACCCAAATGTCTTGAGATGCTCCATCATTATTACATAGCTTTTTGCGTAATACTTTCAATCCCTCAATCCAAACATGTTGATACTTTAGGGACTTAGAGAGTAAGACCCAATCTACACCCCACCAAACCAATTTGTGTTCCACACTCGATTTTGACTTTAACACTTGTTACTCTTGGATTTTGGGCACCAATGGGGTTAGGACTCGAGGCTCGGAAGTTTCCTTACTTGTGCTATGCTTCGAAAAGTTTGTAAAGGTGTTGTGGTCGCCTTCAAGACCATTCCCGAGTGATTTGAGACTCATCTGTTGCTACTCCTCCCATATGGGCAACTGGGGACGAGCTAGACTCGGCGCCACCACTGCTCCACGAGCATCGTGCTGGGGACGGCGGGAACTGAGTGAGCAACCACCGCTGGGGTAGTGGGAAGGCATGTTTTTGCTTGAAACGTGTAGACGGGGTGGCAGGGATGGTGTCCGACCGCTCGAGTCACATGACCGGGATGAAGGAGACGGCGAGTATCGAGGGAGCATCCACCGTTAGCGACGACAGGGAGACCTGTCGCTGGTTGAACCATGCGGCCAGGCTGCCCGGTCCATGAAGATGGGGGTAGAGGGGACAACGCCCGACTGATCGAGCCATGACATCGGGGCGGTGGGTGGTGGGACATCACGGGTCTCCACATAGGACTCGCGGAGAGCAACGCCAAGGGTGTCAGGGCATATTTCTCTCTCAATGGTTTTGGTGATTGATGACAATGCTTTTGCGGACTAATCATGTGCATTGAGCATTTCAGATATTCCTTCATATGGCACGAGACGATTTCTACCCCTCGGTGTTTAAAACAGAAGACGGTGTTTCTTCCTTCGTTTCATTTTCGGTGAACTTGAGTCATAGGATATACCGTACTATCAAGAGGGGGTCCGTATCGGAAAGGTTTGGGTGGAATCAACACGTGCACATCTCCCTTGCACCCCTAGTTCTTTCCCGCTTCTTCGGAGTGTCCTCCGTGGTGTTGGGAGTGGCTCAGGATGAAGCCATCGGTAGTACCGCAATTAGCAGCAGTAGTACTGCCTGTATTGGCAGCTGGTAGTACCGCTCCAGTACCGATGTACTACTGCCTCGATTCGGGACTCGAGTTTCTCATGTCGGTTTCAGCGGTAGTCCAACGGTGGTCCCTCTTGGCATATTACCGCTGACCCCATCTAGACCCAATCGAGCAGCGACGGTAGCAGCGGTAGTACCGCCCCTACCACCGCTGCTAGTACCACTCGTGGATTTCTTCCCTTTGTCTCTCCCATGTGCTCTCGTAAGTCGTTGTGCGATGTCTCAACGGTAGTACTGCTGGGGGAAGCGGTAGTGCGGCTGCAGCAAACAATAGTACCGCGCGTTGCGGGCTGAGCACGGGGATAACGGTCGGATCTTGTCCCCCACTATAAAAGGGGGTCTTCTTCTCCAAGGAGACTTACCTCTTCCTCCCCCAAACTCCCTTGTTGCTCCAAAGCTCATTTTTGCCCGATCTCTCTCCCTAGTCAATCAAACTTGTTGATTTTCTTGGGATTGGTTGAGAAGGCCCAGATCTACACTTTCACCAAGAGAAATTTGATTCCCCCCACTAATCCCTTGTGGATCTTGTTACTCTTGGTTGTTTGAGCACCCTAGACGGTTGAGATCACCTCGGAGCCACATTCCATTATGGTGAAGCTTCGTGGTGGTGTTGGGAGCCTCCAATTAAGTTTTGGAGATTTCCCCAACCTTGTTTGTAAAGGTTCGGTCGCTGCCTCCAATGGCACCACTAGTGGAATCACGACATCTCGCATTGTTTTAGGATGTGAGGAGAATACGGTGGCCCTGGTGGCTTCTTGGGGAGCATTGTGCCTCCACACCGCTCCAACGGAGACGTACTTCCTCTCAAAGAAAAGGAACTTCGGTAACACATCCTCGTCTCCACCGGCTCCACTTGTGGTTATTTCTTACCTTTACTTTGTGCAAGCTTTACTTGTGTATTATCTCTAGCTTGCTTGTGTTGCTTGCATTATATAGGTTGCTCACCTAGTCGCTTATCTAGACAACCTATTTGTTGCAAACCCTAATTTGTTAAGAAAAGCTAAAAAATGGTAGGTGCCTATTCACCCCCTCCTCTAGTCAACCATATCGATCCTTTCAAAGGGCCATGTCCTCCATTGTCCGGTGGTCCCAGTTGACCCGTCATCCTCTGATCTGGAGCCGGACCTGGTGGTGGCTAGGAGACGGGGAGGAAAGAGAAGAGGAGAGTGAGAGAGGATTTCGATGGATTGCACATAGAGGGGTTTGTGAGGACAGGTGGGCCAGTTCTGATTGACGTGGCGAACATGCCTAAATAGCTTTATATCCCACCCGATATTTAAGCCATGTTTTGTACAGTCCGGAGAGTCCAAACAAATGTGTGCGTTTTGGGAAGGCCTATTGAAGATGTTGTTAGGCCGTGAGAGTATCACCACAACTGGCTTGCCTTGTTTCCTGCAAAAAGGGTATACAACTGGGTGCGGATTATCTGAACTTGAGCTCATATGAGCTCGAGTGAATAGTAAATTAAAAAGAAAAACAATTCAAAAAACTTGAACATTGGTAGATGTTGTTTTGATTGCTTGCAAACTTTCATCATGGAACGACATTCGTGGAAGATGTGGCAAAGAAAAACAAAATCAATGCTTCACAAAAGTTATTTTCAAAAGTATTTTGGAGCGTTGATTTTGTTTTGTTTTTTGTCATGACTTTCACGAATGTCATTTGATGATGGAACTTTGTAAGCATTCAAAACATTTGTCAATGTTTGTAAAAAAGAAAGTTTGTTCAGATTTACTGTTTATATCGAGTTTATGAGCTCGAGCTGAGAAGGACATTTTCGGTATACAGCCTTATTAATCATCGCTTTGACTTTGTAAATGTAAGCACTGCCACTGGGCGATGGTCACGAAGAAAAGCACGTTGGTTTACTGTATAAAAGTACAGTAACAGTGTGCCATCCTGTTGTCTTCGACCAAAGCCTTTGACTAAGCCTTCAGGCAGATGATACCGTGCCGTTCAACCATATCCGCTGCGTGTACCAATTTACCTCTTCTCCTTGATGCATGTTAACCTCCCTCGATCTCTCGCTTTCGCTGGTTCGAGTTTGATTCATCCGTTGACCAGGCACCCCTATCTTCCCAGCACGATGTTTTCCGCTGAGACAGCGAGATTAAAAAAGCAGAAAATGTGCATTCTTAGTGCTGAAGCATGATGTGTTTCTTCTCTGAAACCCGAAGAAAATTCCTCGTCTCAACCGGTTGGCGATGAATTTGTCTCCAGGCAGAAAAGTCCGTATAGGCGTATATATATCCAGCACCACCCCTTAGTTTTCCATCTTCACAGGTCGCTCGCTGTTATATTCAGAGATCGCTTGGGGACTTGGATCGTTTGACCTATCCACAGGGCATTTCGATAACCTCTCCCATGGTAAATTCAGAAGCAACCCGCTCTTCTTTCCTAGTTCTTTCATTCACGCTGCTTTCCCATGGTAAATGTAGCTCAGAGTTTTGTGATATCTGCAGGCTCACTACAAAGATGATATCAAGTATGAAGAGGTTTGTCCTGTGAAAGTTGGTCTGAAATTTCGTTCATATTTGTGTTTGCTAACGCATAGATGCAAACTTCAACTTTGGGCAGGGCTTCACCCTGAATTCACGAGGCAGCAGGCTCTTCACCTGCAAATGGACGCCCAAGAAACAACAGCGCAAGGCTCTGATCTTCATCTGCCATGGTACATGTCCATTCTCCACAATTTCCATTCTGCAGTTCGTCAAGCTTGTATGTAACAAAGAAGTAAAGAAAATTCATTATTGTTTCGCTGTCAAAACTTGTAGGTTATGGAGGAGAGTGCAGCATATCGATGGCAGGTACTACTACTTCTACTCTTCAGCGTTGCAATTGTGTCTATCGATTCAGAGCGATTTCACCATCCAACATCCACGAAGTGGTACTAACACACTCCACGCATGTTCAGACACCGCCGCGCGACTGGTGCACGCCGGCTACGCCGTCCACGGGATAGACCAAGAGGGCCACGGCAAGTCCTCCGGCTCCAAGGGCTACATATCGAGCTTCGGCGACATCGTCAAGGACTGCTCCGACTACTTCAAGAGCGTCTGCGGTAAGAACAGAACAGAAGAACAGAGCTTCATTTACAGCCCCATTATGTATGCAGATTACAGCGCAATTGCTCTATTTTTTTCTATCTTTTTAACTGAATGTCTGAAGGGGTTTCGATTTGGCAATAACCTCAGAGAAGCCGGAGAACAAGACGAAGAAGAGGTTCCTCTACGGCTTCTCCATGGGAGGCACCGTGGCGCTTCAGGTCCACAGGAAGGACTCCATGTACTGGGACGGCGCCGTCTTGCTCGCTCCCATGGTCAAGGTCCGCTTCTTGACTTGATCGACATGCCATGCTAGTATTGTAACCTGTCAAATTGTCCTAGAATTCCCAGAATGTAACTTGATCTATCGCCTGATGGCTCGGTTATGTCCTCTGAAGATCGCTGAACTTTTTCTTTGTTCTGAGGTGGCATTCAGCTTGGTGATGGCATGCGGCCTCATCCGGTGGTGGTGAGCGCTCTCAAGATGATCTGCGCCGTCGTGCCTAGCTGGAGGGTCATCCCTGCTCCAGATCAGCTCGACAAAGTCTGCAAAGATCCCCAGTTCAAGAAAGAGGTAATAAAACTATCGACACGGAGAACCATTGACCTGACGTTGAGATATGTGCAAGACTTCATAGTTTTTTCAACGTTAGGAAGAAACACTACAGTTTCCTCGATATAAAACTATCGACAAGGAAAACATTTTTTTTTTGCGGGTGACAAGGAAAACAATTGATCTAACGTTGAGATACGTGTAAGATTTCATTTTTTTAAATTCTGGTAACAAACATTACATTTTTGCGCTAGATGAACAAACTATTACAATGTGGTGAACTTTTTCCTAGATCTGTATAAACATATTTTTTTCGTAAAATCGACCGGATTTTTTTAAACATGTAGAAAGACAATTTTATAACCCGATGAACATATCATGTAGATTTATAATGACATATTCTCATAGTAAGCTCTCTGGTCTGCTACATGTTAGAACGAAGAAAACATACCAACATTCTAATAGAATGTGTAAATGCTTTGTGCTCGTTATATTTATAATAATTTTCTTTTTTCACAATGTGAGAAACTTGTTGCAAATATAGTCCATAGAGATCTCCGGGGTTTCCTCTCCTTGCAGTGCTTCAGTGCAATCTATGAAAATGCTAAAAAATGGTATCAAAGGTGTCGGAAAAGAAATCAACAACCTTGATACTAGAATGTTGTGATTTGAACATACATGGTTGATACAATATTATTCATGGTTCAATCACTTTGCAGGATTTTAAAATCTTCGGAATAGGAAAAGTAAATATTTGAGATGTCATCTCCACTTTAATCCGTAGGCATTTTCTATCAGGTCTTACATAATGCTAAGAATCCTTAGGAATTAGGTCAATGTTGGCACAACCCCTAGGAATCTAGTGCCTCTATTCTTGTGAAACGAATGCTAGCATACGCGCAAATCCCCTTCAAACCAAATGAGTCCTCATTGTCTGGGTTTCCCTTTTTGTTTCTCAACTCGTGGATTGAATTTTAAACTAAAATTTTGTGGTGTGATAGAGGCATCTGATACTAAAGGTGAGATTTGATTTTTCAACAATTTGTTGTAGTAGTTTTATTTAAGTAGCACAGAAGCACCTTAAGAGGAGGAAGCATCAGATATGTTCTCACTCGTTGAAATCTTTCACAGATTCGTTCCAACCCATACATGTACAAGGGAAACCTCGCGCTGCAGACAGGCCACGAACTCCTCGCGGTCAGCTTAGACATTGAGAAGAACATGCACGAGGTACATACTCCTTGCAAGGTGTTTTTTATACTTAGGCCTTCTTTCGTTCGTAGGAGTTTTATAGGAATTCTATAGGATAGGATTTGCAAAGGAAAAATTCCTTTGAAGCCCTTTGGTTCGTAGGAATGGATTCCTATTCCTATGTAGGATAGGAATCAATCCTTTACATCTTGGAGGAAAAAAATATTAGCCTAGACTCAATACAAAAATTCCTATCCTATGCACCAAATGACATCTCTTTCTCTATAGGAATTGAGATGCATGTCATCTTAGGAAGTGAGATGACATGCATAGGATAGGAAACTTGATGTCATTTGGTGCATATGGTAGAATTTTTTTCATTGAATCTAGTCTAATGGTTTTTTTCTCTCTAAAATGTGAAGGACTGATTTCTATCCTATATAGGAATAGAAATCCATTCCTATAAACCAAAGGGCTTCAAAGAATTTTTTTTCCTTTGCAAATCCTATCCTATAGAGTTCCTACAAAATTCCTACAAACCAAAAAAGGCCTTACATTAAGTTATAGAGGGAGTAGAAGGCAATAATACCATTGACAGATCATTATCTTAGTCTCAGCATTGTGTTCGTCCAATTCTGTGCGCCACTTAATTATTAATATAATTATGTAGGTCACTTTGCCGTTCTTGGTGCTGCAAGGGGAGGACGACGTGGTGGCCGATCCTGAGGGGAGCAGGCTGCTACACGAGCGGGCATCGAGCAGGGACAAGACCTTGAAGCTGTACCCCGGGATGTGGCACGTTCTCATGGCTGAGCCGCCGGCCGACGTGGAGCGGATCTTCACAGATGTGATTTCGTGGCTCGAGGAGAGGGCGGCGAGCACCGTCAAGTGAAAAAATGTGTAGTGTAGGTGACTGCATTGCAGAATGCAGAGATATTCTTTTTCTTCAAAAATTTATTGCCTTATAATGTCAACCACTATGTGTATCATTCACAATTTGCATGACTAGGATGTATAAAGCCAACAACAACACACAGAAAAAAAGACTACCGAAAGACATGTTAAAACAAACAACAACATAAGCAACAACAATCAAATAGAAATCATCGCCATTGACACCCGAACCATGAGAGAGGTATTTCAAAATCGATGTATCCAAAAAGGAAACAATGGGTGAGCGTTATCGTCCCCATATCCAAGGATTTTAAGCCCCAGTCCAAATAATGCCGTCCGTGAATAAATAACGTGGAACATGAGCATTACCAGGCACAACCCATGCAAGCCAGACCTAGAGTGCCTTCATTTTCTGCAAAAAAAAAAAATCATGGTTGCAATCTAGACCGTCGTGGCTTAACACTCGTACAACCCTGACATGGGCATCGTCAAGCAATCGAACATCCCCATGTATGCGAACAGCGGACCAAAGCACACCTACCAATATCAACAAGGTCACCAATAGTGACATGAGCCCACTCAAGGAACCATCCAACAGCCCCAAGTGTTGACTCATCACTAGTAGTCAGTCGCCTTAGGGTATTGGCCAGATATGACATGTCATTGGATTGCAGGCATTAAGCGGTCGGTGTCACCAAGAGCCCACATGGGGCCAACTTGCGGCCCCATGCCATCTATAGTGAAGGAAATCGACAACTGTTGAAACACGAAACCGATCAACCATGTGCGACGCTCGTGTTGTTCAACCATTGTCACACGCCTCATGTTCGTTACCAACGTGCATCCAGGCAACGGAATTGGCAAGGAGAACACGTAAAGCCCCGAGCACCCACCCTCACCATGTCTCACGTTACGTTGTCCCACCTTTACCGCCAACCTCGTGTCTGCGCGAAACGTGCCATGCTCGCCACCGCAGCACCGCCACTAGATCCAAACTGTTGGTGCCCGACCGAGCCAACCCCACACCGCTACGACGAGTACCTAAGGTCGACATTGTGCAGGGGTGCCACCAACAACGCCGCCATGCACCTTGTTGAAGGCAATGCGACTCTCGATATATTGATCGGGTGCACGGTGCACGTATATATGGGTACAAGGGCAGCCCTCAGCCTCATCTATACAAGGAAACTAGAGGCGGGGCCGATAGGAGATTATCCTAACAGATACATGCACAAATATGTTCAACACCCTCCTGCAGTCGATACGTCACCAGTGACGCATAGACTGCACCGGAACTCCTCAAATGTAGGCGTCGGTAACCCCTTCATCATGACATCGGCAAACTGCTGAGCGGTGGGAACATGAAGAATGCGGACGCGCCCAAGAGCCACCTGCTCTTGCACGAAGTGAATGTCGAGCTCTATGTGCTTCGTGTGACGATGATGAACGGGGTTGGCGGAGAGGTAGACCATAGAGACATTGTCACAGTAGACAATGGTGGCCTTCGGGACATCAAGAAGCAACTCCTGGAGAAGCTGGCGAAGCCACGAGCACTCGGCGATGGCATTGGCCACAGCACGATACTCAGCCTCGGCACTGGAGCAGGATACCGTGGGTTGTCGTTTAGACGACCACGATATGAGCGAGGGCCCTAGGCAGACGCAGTAGCCTGAAGTCGAGCGTCGCGTGTCCGGGCAGCCAGCCCAATCGGCGTCACTGTAGGCGACCAGGTTAGTCGAGGGCGAGGCCATCAACGTAAGACCCAGAGTCGTGGTGCCGCGGATGTACCGAAGAATCCGCTTCACCAGGTTCCAGTGAGTGTCGCGAGGTGCGTGCATGTGGAGACACACCTGCCGGACGGTGTACTGCAGGTCAGGTCGAGTGAGTGTCAAGTACTGGAGAGCGCCGATGATGGAGCGGTAGAACGCTGCATCTGGCGCGGGTGAACCGTCGAGCGCATAGACCTTGGCCTTCATGTCGATAGGCGTGGGGACAAGCTTGCAGTTAAGCATACCTGCCCGCTCAAGAAGGTCATGTGCATACTGCTGCTGATGAAGAAAGAACCCATCGGCGCGTCGTACCACCTCAATGCCGAGGAAGTAGTGCAATGGGCCAAGGTCCTTAATGGCGAACTCAGCGCTGAGGCAAGCAGTATGCTGGCGAAGTAGCTCGGGCGAGGAAGCCGTCAGGATGATGTCGTCGATGTAGAGGAGTAGGTAAGCGGTCGCCGGAGCCTAGTGGAAGACAAACATCGAGGCATCGGAGTGAGTAGCCCAGAACCCGAGCTGCTGCAGAAAGCCCGTCATCCGCTGGTACTAGGCGTGAGGGGCCTGCTTCAACCCGTACAAAGAGCGGGAGATCAGGCACACATGGTCAGGCTAAGCCGCGTTGACGAAGCCGGTTGGCTGCTGACAGAAAACCTGCTCCGAGAGATGGCCATGCAAGAACGCATTCGACACATCCATCTGATGCACCGGCTAGGCGCGAGAGACCGCGAGTTGAAGGACCGCGCGAATCGTGCCCGGTTTGACGACCAGGGCAAACGTGTCAGTGAAGTCGACTCCAGCGCGTTGCAGAAACCTGCGGACCACCCACCGATCCTTATAGCGCTCGAGAGACCCGTCAGGGCGAGTCTTATGCCGGAATACCCACTTGCCAGAGATGACGTTGGCATGGGGTGGCCGCGGGACAAGCTGCCAGGTGCGGTTGCACACCAGCACATCGAACTCCTCCTGCATCGCCGCGAGCTAATGTGGATCGCGAAGTGCGGCTCGAGCAGACAACGGGAGAGGTGACAACGTAGACGTCGAGGCAGCGAGGAGGTACTCTTCCGCAGAATAACGCGTGCTAGGCCGGTGAATGCCGGCGCGAGCACGGGTGACCATGCGGGTGTCCGGGACGACCGGCGGGACCGGCGGGGCCGACGACAAGGCAGGCAAAGAGGCCATCGAGGAGCCGGGGTCACGCGCGGGAGATGCGCTCGCTGCCAGGGCTACGAACTCAACGGGAGTCGGAGGTGCCGTGGCCGCCGGCGAGGATGCAGCCGGGCCGGCGGAAGCTGTCGAGGAGCCGGGGTCAGGCGCATGGGATGCGCTCGCTGACCGGGCCGCGGACTCAATGGGAGTCGGAGGCACCATGGCCGTCAGCGAGGAGGCCGGTGAGCCGGCGGTCGAGGGGTTCGGGTCTTACGCCGCGGACCCAGAGCAGGGCCCAGGCGCGGTGGGGGCGCCAAAGCCAGGGAAGGCCCACGCACTACAGGGGGCCCGAAGCCAGGAGGGGGCCCGAGCGCAAGTGAGCGGCCTCCCCTGGAGGCACCAGGAGGCACGGGTGACGATGGTGAGTCGGCTGGCGGCGGTACCTGGTGAAAAGGAAAAGACCTCTCGTCAAAGTAAACGTGCCGTGAAGTGAAAACTCGGTGGGAAACCGGATCATAGCAGCGATAGCCTTTGGTGTTTGGTGGGTATCCAAGAAAGATGCATGCCATGGAGCGCGGTGCAAGTTTGTGAGCAGTGGTGGACACGACGCTAGGATAACAGAGACACCCAAAAACACGAAGATCATCATATGAAGGTGGGCTACCGAAGAGGAGATGATGTGGTGCAAAGTTTCCACGAGCACGAGTCGGACGAACGTTGATGAGGAGAGAGGCGATGGAGAGAGCATCCGGCCAAAACCGGGGCGGGACATTGGCGTGGAAAAGAAGAGTGCGCACACAATCATTGAGGGTGCAAAGGATCCATTCGGTGCGACCATTTTGTTGCGAGATATACGGGCAGGTGAGATGAAAAATCGTGCTGTATGTGGCAAGGAGGGTGCGAACCCCGACGTTGTCGAACTCCTTCCCGTTGTCAGTCTACAAGGTATGAATGGGACGCCCAAACTGCGTAGCGACATAGGAGTAAAAAGTAGTGAGAACGGAGAGTGCATCGGATTTTCTCCGCAACGGGAAGGTCCACACATAGTGCGAAAAATCATCAAGTATGACAAGATAGTATAAAAAGCCCGTATTACTGGCAACATGAGATGTCCACAAATCACTATGAATCAACTCAGATGGATACGACGCCACCGATGAGGACGCGCTAAACGGAAGACGGACATGCTTGCCGAGATGACAAGCATGACAAGTATGATCATCGGTTTTATTACACATGAATGAAAAAGTCCTAAGAATATGACGAAGGGTGACCGGGTTCGGATGTCCCAGCTGAGCATGCCAAAGGTCCACCGTGGCGGAGAGAGCGGCCGGAGCGGATGTGGAAGTGGCGGTGGAGTTCATCGGGTAGAGGCCATCCGGGCTGTCACATCGGTGGAGCACCATCCGGGTACGAACGTCCTTGACAGAAAAACCCACTTTGTCAAATTCAACAGTTATAGGAGTTTCACGTGTAAGAGAACGAACGGAAAAAAGATTAGTGACTAACTCAAGTGAAACTAAGACATTAGACATGTGAATAGGCGTAGAGTTAGAGGAAAGGAACCATGACCGACATGAGTAATGGGAAGGGAAGACCCGTCCCCAACAGTAATACGACATGCGGTAGAAACTGGAAATACGGAGTTGAGGTTACCAGGGTTGGAAGTCATGTGGGTGGTAGCCCCAGAATCTATATACCAGTCGCCGCCTCCGGTGTACGTGTTGGTTGTAGGGGCAGAGTGAAGCACCGCAAGGAGAGCCGGATCCCAAGGGGCCGGCGGGAGTGTGGCTGCCGTGGCTGGAGGGGCGGCATAGCCAGGCATGGCCGCGGCGTAGCCACCCGGGGCGGCGTAAGAGGAGCCGCGATGGGGTAGCCACCCGGGGCGGCAAAGAGCGCCTGATGTGCACCGGGGCGGGGGCCAAGGATCCCAGCCGGGACGGGGGCCCACGGCACGGGCATCGTGTACGCATGGACCACCCCCGTCCAAGGGTCGGTCGCGGCGGCCCAGAGAGCCGGGGGCAGCAGCTGCTGCTGCGGCTGGCGCCCCCCCGCATCGTGCTGCTGCTGCTGCTTCTTGCCG